AAAAGTAAAGCCGATTATAAAGATTTAACAGGCAAAGAAATTAGAAATATGCGGCACAAAATGGTCAAGTATGTTTAATGACAAAATACTGCACCTGTCATGGTAGCAACATCGGTTGCTAAGTATAACATATTTGAAGCAATACCCTGACGTCGAGCAAACTTTGCAACACAAACATTTGCAATATAAGCATATTTATTTGCATTAAATGGACCTTTACTTGCCAAGACAGGTGACAATCTCTTTAGCTCCTGAAACCACAGAAAAAAGGTTCTGCATTTAACATGGTCAATTGAAAATTCATTGGAATTTTTAAGTCATGATATTTTTGCTATAGGCAGACAGTTTAGGAAATCGTGAATGTACCCCAGGATACATTTCCCCTTGGACGAATTGTCGGATGCTCAAGTCTAGAGTTCCCACAACACTGTTAAGAACAGTTCTTCTTACATTTGTCTCTTTCTTCTTAACCTAAGATGTGGATGGAGAAAAGATGGAGCTCACTGCAAATATAGAATATTTATCCAACATTTTATAATAGGTAATTCAGAACTCAAAGATTCTAATTCATTTAATAAAGTATAAGATTCACAAAATCAGACTCATATGTTGAAGAGTGAGAAATTTATTTGGAGAGGCCATAGATATAGAAATCTCAATTAAAGGAAAGAAGAAAACAGGAATTCTGTTCTCTAGTTGCATTTGCTTGTATTTGAATGAATAAAATAAATCACGACTGTAGAGACAGCTGCATGCAAAGTTGAAACGAGCTTGGCAGAAGGAAAGACTCGTATTAGAGTTTACTTCACTTACTGCAACAAAACAAAAGCATTTCAATGAATTTCCATCCTGCCCAAGACACCTCCGCTTCAAAGCATTGAACTCCTGTGAGTACAAGTTGAATGCAAGAGAGTCATCAATTCATGATTACATCCTATAGGGAGGAAGTATAAGACCGTTGAGGAGCTTCGGAAGCAACTACAGGGAACAAAATATTGAAGATGGGTATTGATACAAAGAGTTAATGAAGCAAACAAATAAATATGCAAGAAAAAACTTGAGATGAAAGTAGTAGATTTAAAAATTTTAAGGTACTAATCACAACTAAATTAACATACCACGAACAAATGATTTCAGCACTAGGGAAAAGCCCAAGCTCTAAAATGACATGCTCATGCATCAATCCAAATAACGAATCAAAGGTCCTAAAGCTAAATACACAAGGAGCACAACAATTTGCATTTATCACCAATGCAGGTATTCTACAGTAGAAAGATACATTTCTAAATCCCTTTTTCACCACCTGGGACAAAAATACAAAAGTTTTTCATGTTTCAATCTTTTCATGGAAACTAGTGCAAGACTCATAAATCTTTGAACTTTCAAAGCACAATAACTTGAAGTTTCCTCCAAAAAAGAGAGAATGGATTCAGCATTCCTTCTATTTATTAGAGTTACAGTTCTTAAAGAGGATTTTACAGCATTTGAATTGAGACCTTGTGGAGTTGTATTGAACTCATATCCAGGTCAGATGCCTAAAGGTCAAATGTTTTTCCCTTAGGAAGTGTTTTTCAAGGGAAAATACATTTCCCCTTACCCAGGCCATAGTCAGAGAAGAAATTGTAATTCAAGATGCATGATATGTTGGCTGATATAGCTTAATTTCGAATATCCAAAAAAACAGTACAAGTAGATAAAATAAATGCAAATGTAACTCGTCTCCCATAAAGCAAAAGACAATCTCAATTTCCAAGTCAATCATAATCAATCCACGTTTTATATTATGGGTGGGTGTTGGAGGGAAGGGAGCTCATCCCATGATAATCAAACAAATGTATTCCAATATACTCACCTGCTCAGCATACTTTCTTTTGTAAGCGTCAACATGCCTGAAAATTTGTTCAAAAAGGTAAGAATGACTCTCTGATCTGATGATTTAGGCGGTATTAAAAATAATAAAGATAAGTAATTTAAAAACTAAAAATTTCTTAGGCTCTTCACATTAACAACTCACCTTTATGATATATGTCTTGATGTGCACGCACGTATAGGTTGAAACACAATGAAGTTCAATTGAGGAAATTTAAGTACAGAAATCAAGCTGAAAGCAGGTAATCTACCTCATATAGGATAAAGATTCCCAGTGGGCTTCTGCTCGGAGCCATGCTGCTGTCTGACATTGTTAGTGAGACATGGAAACAAGAAATCAGTAAATACTTATAGACAATAAATAAATGAAAAAGGAAAACTAACCCAATATTCTTCATCCAGTAAAGCCTCACGTGCAACAAAGCGACCAAAGTTTCGCCTTTGCAATCCAGCACATTCCTGGTCAGTAAGCTGCAGCCGATTAAAAGAGAGTTCAGGCATCTTTGAACTCTCACTCTTAGAAAGAGCAGAGTGCCGGATACTTTGATCATTGTTACAATGAACTTCAAGATTCTTCCATCTATGGTACTGAGAAGGAAACATATCCCTAAAGGAATTTGGAGCCCGGTGAAAAAAATAAGTAAAGGACAAAAATGAAGTCAATTAATAAGTGGTTCTTATAGCCATAAAAAAATTGGAATATAAGATTTAAATGATATATATGTGGTATTATGTGACAACTTAAACTTTTAGATCAACTGACTCAACACGTAATCATTTTCACAATATGTAAAACAACCTGTATCCTATAATCCTCCAGATTGGCAGCCTTGATGCTTGTGATGAGCATACTTGACATATACATTGATAAAGCAGGTTATAATAAGAAAATGTGATATACATGGAGATGTGGGAATTCTTCAACAAAGCGAGGATAATGTAAAACTTTTATCCATTTTTCACAGGGGTAGGAGACCCATCTCTCAGTTGCCTCAGGGGTATCAATAACTACTTTGGCCTAGCTTTCAGAAATTGTTAAGGAAATGGATCAAAACTGAAGGTTTTGTTAAGAATGATTAGTAATATCTTCAATCCTGTATTTTTTTAAATGTTCCAGCCATAAGTGTAGAACTTAATGGACCTAAACAGAAGGATTTACAAACCTGGATCCACTATAACAACTAAAGGTGGAATCAAAGGAAATGTGAAACTAATATACATATTTCATAAGGGTGGGAAACCCATCTCTGCTGAATCATTCGCATCATTAACTGCTTCTGGCAAGCTTTCAGAAATTGTGCCTGCAGTAGGGAACTAGATTAAAACAGGAGATTTGCCTACAATTAGAAAATGTCTTCACTCCTGTATTATCTCAAAAAAATGTTGGGGCCATAACTTGTTGAATTTAAGCAGTCCCTAGGAATCCATTTCACTAATATTTTCCCTGAGTCCATCTACTTCATTAATTTTTCCTCAGGCGAAGTTGAGTTAGGGTCTGCATTCACCATCAGCCTTTCACATTTTCATGACTGAGAAAAAGGAAAAAAAAGAAGTACGCAAGGCCAACAAAATTGCTTCAATAACATTACTAAATGGTATAAATGCTTCAACAGCAATATATCTATATTCAGCAAACAGTCAAATGATGACGAATGTAGATAGGGATTATGTGCATCACTCTTACAGTGCAAACCCCGATTGAATCGGGGGCATACGCCTACGAAAAGATCGGTTGGATTTAACTTTTCCAGCGAACCTAAATAGGTATCAAAAACTGCTCGATATCCGCTCCAGACGATCAGTTTTAGTACATGTGAACTAAATGTTAGAAAAAGATAAAATATAGGTACTTTCTGTCCACTTTGTTTTGGTAATTAAACATATTCCTAGACAAAAATATTAACAGAAACTATTAATTAATATACTAGAAAGTGATTTATCTGAATCAACTGAGAACTCTGAACTAAAGAATTTGTCCAATGCGTGCAAGCTGAGGCCCACCACTCATGCATATAAGTTAATCACGCTGAAGGTAAAAGTAAAACTCACTCACTCATCATTGACCGTAGAATTTCACACTATTACATGATAATCCCTCTGACCATATTATATGTCTTTTCTGATTGGTATTTCATGGTATTTTAGTTAATTTAGAATCATAAACTTCTAAACTGGTAATATTTTTTTACCAACATATATGATATTATCGTTAAATATTTCCATCTTGATACTGAGAAAAGATAAAAGTGGCATTTAACATGAAACAAGGAGTAATGCATCTTTCACAAGGACAAACATGATGGTAATATCAAAGCATATATGGGTTGATGCAGTTGTCTAAACCGAAAAGGCAGAGATTTTTCCTATCTTGGTTATCTGGAAAATGGATGCCCCGGTGAAGTGTTGTGCTTGCCAATCAAGTAATGGGATTGATACCTATCTAGGCTTTTTTTGGCATGATCCATCCCCTACTGTAACATTATAATAATTTTAACTTTAATGCCTTTCCTTCTCTATAGCTTTTTAATTTGCTTGTTCACCTAAGTAATCAGACAACAAAATATTGTTTAAACATTTTTATTTTCTTCCCATTTTCGATGTCCAAGCAAAGATCATAACTCTGAGAAGTACCCAAAATTCAGATAACAAAGTATTAAACCACACCTTAAACGAAGCACCAACATGCAAAATTATTCAATTAAACTTTTTTTTTCCTTAAGTTAAAAATTCTTCAAATTCAATTACAAAAAATAATAAATAAATAAATAAAATAATCCTGTATATATAAAAATAAAAAGCATAATAACATGAACTACCCATTAAAAATTACCTAGTAAACATGCTTAGAACAAGGAGAGAATCACGTTTCGTGCGTTTGGTACACAGAAGCGACGTCAATCGAGGCTTTCGTACTCTGAATTGCTGCAAAAAATCACCCCTCAGCTCCATTTTTCCTCCTTTTTCTTCTCGGTGTTGTTAAATCATAATTGAATATGAATATATGATTATTGCATAAAATTATATAACTTGAGATAGAATTTAATTTCAACTTTCCAAATATGGCTTTAGATTAGGAAAACTGGGAATGGAACGTTAAATTGAAAGAGGAAAGGAGATTTCAACTGGGAATCATGTCCGTTCTTGATTATTCAGTGAAAAGGGTACACGTATATGTTATAAACAGAGGTAGGAAAAAAAAAAAAAACTAAAAGCGTGTTTTAAGAAGCGAATATCTTGTGACCGGATTCTTGATGGGCTTGGGTTCAGGCTTCGCACGTGTGTCAAACTAGTTATACAATCAAAGATTACTTTTCCCCAATCAATCATCACGTGGAGTTCTACCCCTATCAAATTTCAAATCAAAACAAATAAATAAATAAAAAAACTCCCAAACACCCGTACACGTGGCAGTAGCACAATTTCATTCAATTATTCAATCAAATTGAAAGGTTAGTTTTTGATAACTTCTCCCACCAAAATATCTTGGAGTTGAATTATTCGAATCGACCTTTTCTCGAGCCTAATACATATGATTAATTACGATCTATCCAAGGAGCTCAATATCCAAATAGTTATCATTGCTCCATCAATATCCAAGTATTTGACCTATAAAATAAATGAAAATTTAATATATATGCACTTTAGTCCCTAACATTCCAAAATGTTAAAATATAGCACGTAGAATAATTAATTCCATTCTATGAAATTTTTCGGGACTTTACAATCTCTCCTACTTAAACATTTTTTTTAAAAAAATACTAATTAACTTAATAGGAAATAGAAAATTATACTTTAACAAACATGACCGGAATAATTTCACATAATTATCCATGGCAATCAAATTTAAGAAATAAAATTACGTGCTTAAATTTTAGATTTGAATCTCATGGACCGAGGCACAATCATGCCATCGAATCCCCGCGCTCTGACACAACCCGTTCTAACCTGCGATGTAGGGTATGAAATGGGTGGGTATGGGAAATACTCATAAGGATACAAATATTGGTGAAATCCCGAATAAAATATTAAATCATGCAAAAAAAAAAAAAAATCATTACGTCATATCATATCGTTAGAAATCGGTAAGAGCTCATAATATATCACATCTTTGGTATCGGATGGCCATTTCATATCATATCATGTCATAACTTTCATTAGCATAATATTTATCAACATGAAAAATAAATTAAATGGGACAAACACTTGTACCTCGTAATCATACCTTGATTAATAAAAAGAATCGTTGGGAGAAAAGCAAGAAGTTCACGTTCTCAAAATCTTTATTTTCTGAAAAGGAGAAATGCCGTATTTTTATCCTCTAAAAGTCCCAATCCCATTATTTCGTGTCGTGTTTTCCTCCTAAAAAGTCTCAACTCCATTATATTGTACAATCAAAGATTACTTTTCCCAAATCAATCTTCACGTGGAGTTCTACCCCTATCAAATTTCAAATCAAATCAAATAAATAAATAAATAACTCCCAACCACCCGTACACGTGGCAGTAGCACAATTTCATTCAATTATTCAATCAAATTGAAAGGTTAGTTTTTGATAATTCCTTCCATCAAAATGTCTTGGAGTTGAATTATTCAAATCGACCTTTTCTCGAGCCTAATATTTATGATTAATTACGATCCATCCAAGGAGCTCAATATCCAAATAGTTATCATTGCTCCATCAATATCTAAGTATTTGACCTATAAAATAAATGAAAATTTAATATATATGCACTTTAGTCCCTAACATTCCAAAATGTTAAAATATAGCATGTAGAATAATTAATTCCATTCTATGAAAATTTTCGGGACTTTACAATCTCTCCTACTTAAAACATTTTTTTTAAAAAAATACTAATTAACTTAATAGGAAATAGAAAATTATACTTTAACAAACATGACCGGAATAATTTCACATAATTATCCTTGGCAATCAAATTTAAGAAATAAAATTACGTGCTTAAATTTTAGATCATAATCTCATGGACCGAGGCACAATCACGCCATCAAATCCCCGCGCTCTGACCCAACGCGTTCTAACCTGCAAGGTAGGGTAGGAAATGGGTGGGTATGGGAAATACTCATAAGGATACAAATATTGGTGAAATCCCGAATAAAATATTAAATCATGCAAAAAAAAAATCATTACTTCATATCATATCATAAGGGAAATTCATTGAAAAAGAATTTAAATAGATATATACGTATGTTCACTATGTGTGGACCGTGTGGTTTTGTTTGACAGAAGCGATTACGTAGACGGTGACGCTGAGGACTGAAGCAATAAATGATGAACAAAGAACTTTAACATACAAAGCTTTAGATGGAGATGTTTTGAAGCTCTACCCAAGTTACCAGTTCGCCATTGCCGTCAGTGATGTTAAATGGACTATTGAGTATGAAAAAGCTCTTCCAGTAGTTCCAACTCCAGAAATCTATATGGTCCTTGCACTTCCTTGTACTAAAGTGGTGGATGCTTTTCTTCTTCTCAGCCCGTAGCTATTGAGGCGCCTAGAAATAAATAATATACTAATATTACAATAATCACCAGTACTGTTAGGCACTGTTAAGGGCACCTCCAACTTGTTTATTAATGAAGAAATTGTAAGAGAATCTTTATTGTGTGCATTGTGTGGAATCCATTGGTGAAAAAGTACATATTTTCATTTAGAAAAAATTGCAGCCACGGTACCAAACCTTTCACCTGTATGCAGACTTTGCCCAAACATTTCATTTGTACCATCGAGGTACCAAACTTTAAAAAAAAAATCGCAGCTCTAATCTAAATTGATATAAACCATCACTTTCTCTATTAGTTGATCAAATATCCAATGTCTGATCAATGTGGATTAATTATTAAATGGCAAAACGGTAAATTTACATTTTTTTTTCATATAAAAAAACTAAAATAAAATAATTAAATCAAAAAAAAAATCATATTATCTTCTCCACCCACCCCACCCCACCCAACCCAACCCGATCCAACCCAACCCAAAACCAAAACCAAAATCCTCAAAATGCCGGCATCACCACACTCACCTTCGCCACCATCTTTCAGCCACTAGTCTCTGTTGCATGTTTCCCTGATGGCATCGGCGGGATAGAGCTCATGGATCGATTTCGCACTCAATCGGTGCGACTCAAAATTGAAATCTTCATTGAAAATGTCTCTAAACCGAAATCAGTCACCAAACTCCTCCACTTCCCAGTTCTAAGGTTTACATTATCCACCGAAAAGATGAATTTAGGGCTTCGAATATTATGCATAGTAGAGCTGTCAAACCCAAAGATTGAAGTCTTGTGTAATTTCACGATGACATAGGCGTACAAGGAGAGATCTTTGGGGGTTTGAAGGTAAAGAATGTGGTGAGTGGGGAGGTTACTGATTTGAACGTTTATGGGTTGTTTTTTGCGATTGGACATGAGTCGGCAACCAAGTTTTTGGATGAGCAGCTGGAGGTGGATTCTAATGGGTATGTGATCACGAAGCCTGGTACTGACTTGGTTGGGTGATGGGAATGAAGGTAGTGGTGAACGGTGAGATTCTGATGAAGCTTTCGATGACGATGAGGAAGTCAGCAGGATTCTGATTTTTTTTATTTTATCAACAAATACTGAACTGGTTTTGGTGGGGGTGGGGGTAGGGGTGGGGTGATTGTGGTTTTTTTTTTTAATTCTATTATTTTATTTTTTATATGAAAAATGTAAAATTACCCATTTGTCATTTAAAAATTAGTCAACAATTGGACAGACTTTTGAATTTTTGGTCAACTAACAGTTTTTGTCAATTTGGGTTGGATATATATATAAAAAAACTATCTATTTTACAATTTTACTAGCTTAATTCTAAATGCTCAATTGGCTTCATTAACCAATTAACAACCCTACAAGACAATAAACAACCCAAAATTCTAATAATTAAAATGAAGAGTGAAAAACTAACCCTAAATCCCTTTTGCCATTTTCCTCTCCCCCACCCTTTAACCCACAAAAAACAGTTGAATAGAAAAGAAAAGAAAAGAAACTCCATCGTCAATCTTTGTTGCCCGCTCTATAATAGTACAATCTACTTAATAACATTACTATTTTATTGGTAGTTGTCCACTTTTTAGTTGATATTTCATGATTTTTTTTTTCCAGTTCTAGAAGGGTAAGTATGGTGGGCGATAACCGATAAGTGATGATATTCAATTTTTCCCAATTTTTTTTTTTTTTAAATTTAACAATATTGTATTTCTTATTCCTATTTCTTCTACATTTTCATTTGATTGGTGGTATGGTTCACAAGTTTTTGAAGAATCAAGATAGCTTTAATTAGGCTTACAAAATTTTTGCCAATTTAATAATCATGTACTCTCTTTTATTTTTTGATCTTCCTTGGACTTCATATACTTTTATAGTTATTGTTGTCATAAAATAAAAGTTGAAAATGTTTGATTTTTAATGACATGAATTTTGATAAAGTTCGGGCGGTTATTATGAGCTTTACTTGCATTTTTCTTATTCGTGACATTTGAAAAATAAACAATTATTTAAATGTCATATTCTTGCAATGAAATAATATTATTGGAATTTATATTTTTTAAAATATATTTTCTAATTATATGAAAGGGATACCATTTGAAATTGTCACACATAGCACCCAAAATCTGAGGACATGCCCTAAAGGGTGTTATGTGTTAAATGGAACTTGCCAAGTAGAGGAAATGTACTTACCTATCCAATAATTGAAACATTACAAAAAGTCTAATTTATGGACAGTTTTGATCTAATATTCACGATGGGCATGGACTATAATGTCCATCGTCGATGTTGCCACATGCATTTGGTGGCGTGGGATTTTGTCATGCCCTTGGCGGGCACTATAATCCATGCCCACCGTGGACATTATATCATTTTTGAATTCATGGGTTGCAATAATAAAGTATTCATGTTGAAATACTGAATATTAAGAGCAAAATGAGATTATATGGGTGAAAAATGAAGTTTATGGAGTTACTAAGTAGAATTACCTTTGTTATGGAATTTGCCAAGTAAAGAAATGTATGTATTATTTGTATACTGGATAGTATAATCGAAAATAGACTTTCTATTTATATCTATCTATATAGATATATGAATTCCTTATTATTAATTCTCGACAAAATAATTACTCAATCCAGCCTTGAAACCTTCCATGACCCATTTTTCACAATTTCATCGCTTTATTTACTTTCGTTGGTAAATTAAAATTTACTGAAATAGCTTTGTTAATGTTATTGGCTGAAAAAATTTTCACAATTTGGAATTAATTTTTAATTATTATTTTAATAAGAAACATAATTTCTTGAAGGTTATATTTATTTTTTCAATACTTTATATACCAAGAGAAATTATGCCGATAAACTAATTTTGTTAAATTAATTATTTTTCAATATTTATCATTGATCAAACCTTCGTTATTTTTCTTAGATTATTTGTTTCATCATTAATTTGTTACTTACGGCGTATATCATTCGTATTAATTTTTTTTTTATTAACATTGTTCACCAACAAAATTTAATTTAATAAATTAAATTTAGTTTTTTTAATTATTACTAATGGAAATAACCCTAAAATTTTTAGACATTTTTGTAGGATATTTCGTTGATAACTATTTATAATGAAAATATTTCGAATGGTTTCATTGTTTTTCCTTTGTTGAGTTCGAGTAGGCATCAATTGATTTTTACCCTAATCATTGTCGTTTGTTGAATAATCACAATATTTCGGCATCTGGCGAAAGCGGCATGCTAATAGAACTTTGTAGAGAGCAAGACCACAATTTTATGGTAGAAAACAATGTGTGATATTCTATGGGCTGGTTTCTTATATAGATTATTTTATTATAAGATACTTGTATGGATCGATCTATCAAATTTTCACATTTACACCGTTGGATGAAATAACTTGTACTTGTTGGTCATTCTCAGTCTCAAATATATATACATTCTAACTTGCATTTGTTAAACCAATGAAAGCATTCGAAGGAATAAAGTTAAGCTGAAGGTCGGAATCAGAAAATGATGTTAGAATGAGCTGAAATTTTAAAAATTCTTCATGAATTCAAGTCACGAGAAATCGAGTTTAGGAGGCTAAACTCATGATATTTACGACAAATAGTGCGGAATACTCCATGAAATATAAGTCTAAACGTTCACAACTTTGGAAATATAAATTGACAGAAGCATGATCGGCATAAGCAAATATACATATCCATCAACGAAAATTTAACAAAATATCTAATAGATGTTGTTCAAACTAACTTTGACCACCTAGTCTTTTCGAATAATTAAAGGTTTTGATCGAATCACACAATAAAAATACATCATTGTACATCATTGTTCTCAAAATAATATTTTGATATGGACATTAGTCTTGAATACCATCAAATTCCACAATGATTGAGAAATCTCACTCAAAGTGAGAAAACTGAGGGTAAAAATAAATTGGATTTAATTACTTATTTTGATAATAACATATATATCATGGACAAAGTAAGTTTTTTCTGTATGCATATGAATAAGTAATAAATGAAATATATGTAAAAAAAAAAAAAATTTAAAAAATACTATTAAACTTAGCTAAACTTATAGTGCCTCTTTAACACAAATTTTTAGACCAACAAAATTACATTTTCCACTATTATATCTGTAACTGGACTGAGGCGGGTCTGACTTGCCTCCCCTACATCCGCTTTATACATTTCATAGTATTCACAATTTTTCAACTGAACTGAGGTAGGTCTGGTTTGGCTCAAATGGTCTAAAACTCATTTTCTATCAAATTTATTTTCAATCATACATTTCATAGTATTCACTACTTTTCAACCATACATTTTATTAATATTATTTTTTTTTTATCAAAATCTACTAAAAATCTTATTTTAGTTTAGCTAAATTAAACATGTGCCAAAAGTTTTTGTAAAGAAATTAGTGTGACAATTCATTAACTGGGATTATTTGGGTAAATTTCTGTAAGTTTATATTGATAGCCATTTTATTACATTATTCTTTAGTGTGAAGAGCTAAATACAATTTTTCTCACATTGAACTTTGTACTTATTATCACATTGGTTACTAAATTTTAATTTGATTTCAAAATCAGACTTATCATTAAATTTTCAGAAAATATTATATTCAAATCGCGGATCCAGTTATACGTCCATTTTTTCACTAATTATAAACTCCGAGCAGCCTAAACAAAAATGAAATAAGCAAATATATAATTACTTTGTCGAAACAATTGATAAACCTTTTGATGCTTGTCTATTTTTTTAAATGCTCTTGATAGAATAAACTCAGCTTTCATTAAAATTTCTTAAACATATGCCCTTTTAAAATCAAGAAGAAAAGCGAGTCTTACCCTAATACATATATGGATGGAGGGAGGGAGGGAGGGAGGGAGAGAGAGAGAGAGAGAGAGAGAGCTCAGCTCATGGTTGTTCCAAATTGTGAAAATCTCTCAAAAAATTATCCCCAATTGTCATAGTGGAAATGTACTTACCAATCATGTATATCAAAAAAGCTACTTGTAAAAAAAAAAAATTTTGACAAAAAAATTGACACACTCTCATATGATTCTGGCCCCCACATGTATAAAAAATTGAAAAAAAAAATGTGGAACCCCCTGATGTGAGGGGCCGATCAGGGTGTTTGTCACCCTGACCCAGTACAAACAACACTTCTCGATCTCATGTATATTGAAACAAACTGTGTATATTGAAATTCCCTGCATTGTTAAAGCATTATTGAATAAATGATCATTACATATGCACCGTTTGGTAACCATTATTCTA